CTACAATATACATTAGTACAAAATAATTTACACCAACTATATATTGTCGCTGTAGAATGATAACCTCGTATGTCCAAAGAACCAAACATTACAGGAAACGAAAAAAATGTTTCATTTCGTCAATGTTCGTTAAAATATTATTAAGTGTTTTTGTCCATAGTTTTGGATGGTAAAAAGGACTTATTTATTAATATAAATAAGTCCTTACTTCACGATTATACCAGTTAAAGAGTCTAAGAATAAAAAATAAATGGTTTTTGGACATACGAGGTTATTATTCGTATTGTGACGATATTTGAAATGAAAAATCTACCAATTTATCGTTCGTTCTTACTAGAACTAAATAACAAATGACAGTTTGTTATGAGCAATGTATAACACGCCATAACCCAAATATCGTGATATTACTGTGAATTTTACGACAGAGAAACTTAGTATTTTTAAATAAATTGTATGTTTTTAAAGAATACCAAAACGATCAGTTCGAACCGCTTGGTAACAATGTAAACGCCACGAATAATCTTATAAAGTTACGTTTTATTAAAGTGCATTGGCGCCATCAGAACCGGTTGAAAGTCGAATCCCCTTGACCTGTATGCAGGAAGGAAGGTGGTTACCAATTTTTGATAACGGTTGTCGCGTTACTTGCATTTACAATGAGGTATACTTAATTGGCCACTTGCTTTTGCAGTAGGTGGCATTCAATGGCTCAGGATTCTAAATCATATCAATGTTTCATACAAAAACTCTATACAAACAACTGACGAATACCAGTAGGTATTTATAAAAATCCGCTTGATATTGTCTTTAGAGCTTTGTTTATACAAATAAACGCAAATTTATTATATTATATAACTTGACGTTGCAAGTGATTTGGTCAGTCACTTTTCGGATTTCGAAACTAAGGACAATATTAAAATTCATATTTTACTCGTTGCGTCGAGTAGAGATATAGAAAAACAATAAAATCTCTTATGTTTGCTATTGCATGATATGCGTTTTGCCCGATTAATATGTTCAAACTTTTTTATTAGCGCAAGCGAGGCTTTTTTGTCGATAAAGGAATTTCGATAATATCGCTATAAAACTGACAAAAATGAAAGAAAAAGAATTGGGTAAATTATTCAAACAAAATCCTCCAAAATTAATATGGGCTTAGCGTGCCTGGCCTGAGTATCTATATTATTGTTTATACTATTATATGAAGATATAGGATATAAATAAATGACGTTTTCGTTTGTTGCTAGTTGCCTAGTTATTCATTATCTATTCTTTCCGTTCAAGGATGACAAAACATGTGGAATACCTATTAGAATACGTGTGGTATCAGCGTTCTAATTAATATTGCAGTTCAACATAATTGCTCAATGGAAATTAGTTCTAGTTGTAAACATATATAGCTTTAGGCACGTTTCTATCACCTAATATTAGAAAAATCAATGTACAAATAGTCTAGAAAATGTATATTATATTTCGGTAAAAATAACGATATTTTTACGCAATCGAACAATCCGCGTACAATAAAACCAATAATTCTTCCGACGCAAATTGTTCTTCAACTGAATTTTGCATTATAAATGGTTTTTCTTATTAGTTTCGCCTTGCGCGACGATAAAATGTTCTTACAATGTCGACTTCAGTGAAATTGCAAATTAAACGGCGTATGTACTAAATAAATACCGTGCCTTCGAAGTGCTTAAACATGACTGCAAATGTTTCCCGGAATGTATTTAAAATGCAACTCACTACAGCGAATGGAATTTCCTCATACAAAAATAAATCTTGGTACACCGTAAGACTTAACGAGATTAGAAAAATTCAATTAAAAATCGCTAGAACTTGTCTTATTGTAATTAACAAGAAACAAATCCGTAAAAAGAAAAACGTTACTTTTTCCCTATGAATGCAATATTTTTATTTTTGAAGCGGTTGAAAATTACAGCACGGGTCGCAAGAGCACTCACGGAAAACCTCATGAATTTTGAAGTGTACAAAATAGCCTGGTTTCAATGGAATAAACTTCTTCAGTAGCGTTCAGAAAATTATTATTTTTAATAAATATGAATATTATAATTACAGCATTCGCAGCAACAAATATCTGGTGCCACTATTACTATTGTTTTGTTTGTATTGTCATTAGTCACCTTTTACGATCTCTCATTACTTTGAGATGTTGAATTCTTAAAAGCATTTCTATTTACATTATAAATTTTCCATTAAATCTATATATATAAAAGAAAAATGGTCTTCGTTTGAGGCTCCTTCACTCCTAAACCACTGATCGTATCGACATGAAACTACCACCATTCGATGCGAAATTTTTCCTAGATGGTTTATGGCTATTTATTTATTAAATTCCATTTTTTATTGCTGTTTTACTTTTATGAAAATTTATCCATACGGACTTCACCGCGGAAACATTCGGGGAGGCTTCCTAGAACCTCTAAACGTCAACATCTGTTAAAAACTCGATTTTCGAAATATTTCAATTTTCTTAGCGGGAAGTTAAAAAGAAGAATAATAAAAATATGAAAAAAATAAAATTATAAAACATAAAATTTATTTTAATTCGTCCAGCAAAGCGGGCGCGAAACGGCTAGTTAAGTATAAAAAAATCCACCCAAAAATTCGAAATTTAAAAATTGCTACATTCTCGTTTTACATTTAAAATTCTCAATTGGATTATAATTAGATTTACTATTGTAAATTATACATAATATAAGATTTTTGCAGAGTTATAGTGAATTATTTTTTTAATTATTCAAGCGGAAACGCTTTTTCCACGGAATGTAAGTGGGTCCTTGGTCAAATTAATTATAATGAAAATCGTATCAACAAGATCTCTATACATTTAATTAATATTGGAACCCCGCCAAATCTTATCCGTTAGGTACTTGAAAAGAAACCAGTTCCTTTCCGTTTAAGGATGCATGTTTCATCGGCCACCACATTTTTTAACCCCCACATTATAACTTTTAGAATACAAACTATTACAATATGACATAATACTCTTTCTCGAACGTTCTTATAAGAAATTACAAATCATAATAAAGTAATTAACTAATACATAGGTTACTAAGGGCACACGTGACATAAATAGGTCACGGCTGAGTCCTTGTAATGTCATCTGGTCCATCCCAGCATCCCAGTTATCCAGGGCAAATCAATATCTATATTATACGCCCCAAAATTAATACACGCATCAGTAAAGCAACAACCAAAATTGGCTGGTTAACCGACAAGCCTAGGAAAATTTTGACGTTTTAAATAAAAAACAACATACCTTCCTTTGAGCCTCGGCGGCAAATCCAGATTTCGCTGCTCTGTTGTTTGCCATTTTGAAACTAAAAACTATTTTGTACAATAAATATAATAATTTAAATCACAGTCTACACAATTGTCGTGAAGTCACACACGGGAAGGAAGATATAATTGCTATAGAAATGTAAACAGCGCGCGGGTCGACTGGCGACCTGTTCTATGTGTGAGTGTGTGCTGATGAATGACATCATGCAACGAACCGCGAGCGCGACCGGCCGGTGCACGACTGTAGTGTTGTCCTCCAATAACTCTGTCGATACTATAAACAATAGCATCAATAAATAATACCGATCTAGCCACGATGGTACAGAATTAAATAACTCATGACTCTCATAATAATAAAAAAATAGTAGTAAGGTTATTACTTATTATTTGGCATGCATAGTACTAAATCTTACTCTTACCTCTTCTGTATATATAATTTTTTAGTACTTAATTTTATTTTATCACAATATTATATATCCGATCTTAGTAAATATAGGCATATTAAAAAAATTGGATAATAAAAGTTATCGATAAATAAACATTATAGAACAACCCTATAAGCCACGAATGAATGTAAAATGAAAACCAAGTATGGAATATAATACGAGTAACAGGGATAGAAGATTACGCTGGTCATCTCACTCGGCGTGAGCTGTTGGCTCCCAAAAGCATCATGGCGCCTATATGGCATAGCGCGAAAATTCAAATAAGGCTTTAGTTTGAGAAATTTTGTTGGGTTTTCGTTAAGGTGCTACTTTTCTACATTTTACATTACTAAACAGCTGTTTTTAACCCAATTTAATTTTGGAATTCAACCTATTAAATACTTGGTACGTTTTCTAAATAATAGGAAGATTTCTTTTATTTTCCAAACAACAAAGCAGTGATAGAATTATAATTTTGTTCGACTTAGTCACCCACATTCTTGAACATTTTGGAATGCCGCGTGTAAAAGTTCGGGCGGCCATTTTGTCGTCACATTCTCAACGTAAGTATTTGTAAAGCTGAATTAAACGAATTGAAATTAATTTGGTAAATACAATTGAACGAAACATGCCGCCAAAACCCAGCATCACTTCGCATGCGTTAAAGTGGAGTCTGTGACAGGTCAGTACAACGTGAAATTCGTCATAGAGATGGCGCTACCTTGTTACTTGTAATGCTTTTTACTATATAGTAACAAATAGTAGAACATTCTTTTTCCTGACTATGGCCATTGGTGTGTATTATATTTAAATTAATTAATTAAACCACATTTATTCCTTGAAAAATTTCATAATATACACACACTTAAATTTTTTTTTCAAGGACCTCTTAATAAGCTCTTATTGAGTATAGGCCTCCTCCAATTGATCTATAAAAATACTGTAGTTTCTTTTTATTATTGATACACTTTTAAATCACAAATATTTGTATAAGAGATGTAAATGTCTGTTATACACAAAACGTAAATTTAAGCGAGTGCCTAATTGCCAGTTATAGTTCTACCTTCAAAAAAAAATTTCAAATGAAACCTTTATTGATTATGCTGTGAAAAATGAATGACAGAATTCTGCCTGAATAACCATTGATATCACAATGTCATACAAATTCTCAAAATTTTCGTGATAGATCAAAATAAATACAAAAAATGAAATATTAAAGAAAAAAATCTCCTGACCCTGGTTTTACAAATTCTGGCTAAACAAAAAATAATGGAACACAACCCTAGGCGACGTCGTGGAAGAACCAGGGCGACATTAATTCAGACACGATCTTTTGCGCCGAAAACAAAAATTTCTTCATTATTTGATGGTCTCTGTAACCTGCTTATCATGTCGAGTTTGATGGGAGTTATTTTTTTGTCATTGGAACACCATTGTAATGTATGCAGAAGCAAGTGTGATGTGTTCAGTATTGCAAAAGAACTCAACGATATAAGTGTAAGAATATTATACCTTTTTAATTGAAGTAACTTTTCTCTAAATCTAAAGAAACTAAGCAAGCAATGTATGCATTTAAAGTGCATTTTATAGCGTAATCGTGTAAAGTCAGAGCTCGATATACAAATTGAAATAGTTTTATCAAGGACTAGCTGTACCCTGCCACGCTTCGCTGTGGCACATTTATATGATTTCTGCGCCATTACTATTTTTTTTAAACAAGGACCTCTACAGCCATTACTATTGCGGTTCTCCGCGAGTGTTTTCCTCGCTTCCGGCAGATGGCGCGGTCACGTATATGTGACTTATGCAAAAAATAGATAAAAACAATCCTTGATGCGGATTATATTTTATATATCATGCTAAAATTTCAGCTCGATCGGTGCAGAACTTTTTGAGTTTTCGAATCGTACACAAACCAACATAATATTTATATATATTGATTTAAATATAGAACCTGTTCTCTTATAAGGCAAATTAAAGAAAATTGGTTATAAGTAACGTTTGCTGACATTCTAAATTTCCTTTCAGAATAATTTAACGGACATGAAAAACTCCTACACGTATTTGGAATCTCGTATCCTCAAATTTTCTGAGGAGCTACCAAAAATAGAAGGTCAAGTGGACATTTTAGAAGCATTGGCAAATACAATAGAACGGGGTAACTTCGGATGGAACCCGAAAACGCACCTGGCTCTTCCAAACGTCGACGTTTTTCTGAATGGAGATTTCAAAGTCAAAACAGCAAATAAAACTAAAATATCGTGGTAGTAATATACAATTTTAACAGGGCTTCAGGTTTTAGTTTATAGTGCTCAGCTTTAGACATTCATAACAAATTAAGTAGGTACTGTTCGATCCAGAAATTGCTCATTTATATACCCTTTAATATTAAAAGTATTAATTCTATTACCACGTCTTTTGGTAATAAATACAACAGAATAGATGTTCTAATTTATTTAACGGCAAACAAACATCGAATAAATATTTTAAACTTTAATTGTTCGTCTTATGTCTTTGCAAGTGCAATCGTCCTTATATGCATAATATTTTCTAGTTTCAATGCCTACACCGGTTGATCTTAGGGGATATCTAGTTATTGTTGAGGCATTCGTAGTTAGGCAGTGCTTGTTAAAGGCTGTATTTTGTCGAGTCTGCACTTCTTTACAGACCATAGAGGCTTTTTTCTTCTCTATCATAGTCACAACGTTTATGTCATGTTGTTTTCTTCTGTCAAGAGTGTGAGCTGGACTATGGCAACAGCTTTTGCAGGGTTTGTGTTTCACAATTTGTTTTACATCTTTGTGTAAAGTATCGTACGCTGTACCGATATCGGTCATCGTATTCTGAAAACAAATTAAAACATACAGACTCAAGCACAGAAACAAAAATCCAATCATACATAGTTTCAAATAAATTAGCCAATAGGATAGCACAAACTTTTGTAGAATTTATTCGAAATAGTAAAGGGAATCCTTAAATTTCGTTAAAAATTTAAAAATATGTAGCGACATCTACATTTTGATACTAGAATTAATTTATATATGTCGCTACTAACAATGTCTATCTTAAAATTAAATGGCTGAATAAAAAAATATCTGATATCTCGTAGATTTCTATGGACGAAATCAACTAAAGTTTCCGTATTTAAAGACGTGAAATTGCTAATGATTACTGAATATTTATAATTATGGAAAATGGGCGTTACCTTAAGTGAATGCAGGCTCTTTCTCATATTATTAATTTCACGGCGTAAAAAGTGTCTGTCCCAAAGATGAGTGGTAATATGCGACGTTATAAGTATAACAGTGACAAAAATGGCTAGTTCCAAAATAAAGTTCTTACGGACTGGCATACTTCCCCTTAAAAGTGTATTTTAGATTTAATTATTTTTATAAATCTATTGTGAATTTTTAATATAACTGCCCTCTATTTTTAATATCAAACTCTAAATCTATGGTTGACTTTTAAGTTTGATTTGGAAATATCTTGATGTTCTTCTATGTGCAGTGGCTTCAAAGATTGTGTAGATGGCGCTAAAATAAAAACAAATTCATTTATTATTTATCATCAGCTTATATATGAACTAGCTGCCCCCGCGAACTTCGTTTTTCCTTAATGTGATTATTCTAGCCTACCTTTTTAGCACATACCAACATGGTACATTATGCTATACTACCTCAGAGACTGTTCGGTTTTCTGGAACGAAAACTTTATAGGTTTTCTGTGAATTTTTCTCTATATAAACCTCAGAGTTCAAGTCATAAGATTTAATTAACAAATAAAAAATAGGGGTTGATCGTACAGGGGTGAAAATTAAGTATTGTATGTATTTTTATATGCCGTATCATAAAAAAATAAAAACAAAAAATTTATCTAAAAAATAAAAATTTAGGGGTGAACCACCCTTAACATTTAGGGGTTTGAAAGATAGATAGTAGCCGATTCTCAGATTTACTGAATATGCATAAAAATTTTCATAAGAATCGGTCGAGCCGTTTCCGAGGAGTATGGGAACGAACATTGTGACACGAGAATTTTATATGTATATTAGATATACTGCGATACAGTTTATTTAATATCACTATGAACTAATTCAGTGTTATATTACGAAGTTTAAAATCACGTTAAATAATAAACAAACAGGCATGACGCTACATTATTAGAAATTCTTAAAATCCAATAAATCCAGCGCTTATACAAAGTGTTTGTTTACGAACCTTAATTTCAAAGAAATTAAACCTTTTCCTTGAATCAAGGCAAGTTTAAATTCCACGATAAAAGTTGTTCAAATTGTATATAGCGTAGATGTCTTCAGCTGCTGTATAACAGGTTCTTTCAGCTTGTATTATATCTTTCTACAAATAAATATCAATGCATAATAACTTCCGGTTTCAGGGGATAAAATCCGTATGAAACGGGAAATGACGAAACGGATTTGTTTGACACAGGAAGTTGATCAAGTTGTGAATCATTGTTAAATTATTAAATTTGGTAAATGAATAATTTAATAATGATATTACGTTTATTTGAAATGACACGAGTTATAACGACACAACATTATCTACTTGATGATAAAATACCTATGAGATACGTCTTGCTACAATAAACCAGTTTCTTATCTCTAAATAAATAATTATGCCCATAAGTGTTTATTTAGACCGAACTCCATGGATACAAATCTTTAAGAAGGATATAATATAGACAATTTTAGTCACGTTCGTACGGTTCATAGTCTAAATTACTATTATCTTTAGTTTTCCCACAAAATTTAAATAAACATTTTCCCTACAAACCATAAATTCAAATCTCTGTACTTAAGGATATTATGGTTAACTTTATTACTTTATATAATTAATTTAAGCACCACATCAACTGTGGTAAGTTAATGGTCGTAGATAATTTGAAAATCCGTGTACACTGCCTATGTAATAGCTTCTGTCTGCAGCTTTCCTAATGGTGTATTTAAATGGCAATGTTGTAAACAGTTTCTAATTCTTAATCAATTGAATTCAATTCAATCGATATCAACGAAATCTAAAACGAATAGCTTTCGGTTAATAACGATTTAATTAGACCAGCAAACGTATTTTAAAAATCGAACGTATTTTTATGAAAATTTATAATGGAATCAAACTGTTTTTAATCAGTTATCGTTCCGAATCTAGTTTTCATACAATTAATGTTAATTGAAAAAGCCGTACCGTGATCTTATCCAAAACTTTCTTCATTTCCTTTAATTCAGCACTTCTGTCGATTCGTTCAGAGAAATCCGGTAGCAGGAAGGTGAAAAATAGGACGAGCGATAATGTGACTAAGATAAAAGGTTTAGAGGTGATAGTACTGTAAAACAATGATCTGTATTGAATAAAGATCTTCTTTAATTTTATGAAATCTGATGTCCTGCGGCGAATAGAACAACCTGGAAGCAAATGTCTCGTAGGTAGGCTTATTGCCTTTTAACATGATAAATGGCATTGATTTAATGCTGCAGTAGTTTTTTTATAGAGCAAATGCACAGGGGGCAATTTCGGGGATGTTCAGTCAAACTCCTCTTATGTTAAGTGATACCCATGGAGACAAACTGCTAGAAGGCTCTGTTCTAGAAGGATCCTAAGTCGAATTGATTCGGAAATATGAAGTATTGCAGTGTGGGGCAGTTCCACATAGTGGTGGTGCGCGGAAAAAACTGCCTTAAAAAACGCCCAATTGTGGAACAACGGTCGTCGTAACGTCATGAGTTAGTAAGTCAATTAGAGAATCAAATTCAGATTTATATCTATTTATATACTGTCTTACAAACAATTAATCCCTAATATATAGAAGACAGTTGCAATATTGCTGCCTTTCTTTCCTGTGGTACACGTTAGTCACTTAGATTAATTAGGTAATTGTTAATTAATAATGATAATATGTAATATCAATTGAGCCGGCACATCTGTTACTAAGTAATTAGACTCCGAGTTTATACGGATTTGCTAATAGCCTTTAGAGCTCCAACTAATAGTTAGTTAATACTTCACTCAATCAGTGTATTGCTAAAATAAATAGCCGATGTGTACATAATGTATGTTGATAAATAGAGTCAATGATTTTACTAAAGTTTCCTATTGGAATTGTCTGTGGCATCATTAGAAATTTCATCTTGCCTTACTCAAGACTTAACAAGAATTTTAGTCTAGTTTAATTTCCTAAATATAATATTTATTTATTGAGACACTACCAGGGTGCATAATTTTTTTACAACTAAGTGTTTGTGATCTTACCACAGCCATGTCGCTTCGCCATTAACCTTGAATTTACATCATATTTTTAATAATGGTATCGTACTATTTTACTATGTTTTGTTTTCTTGAATATTTATTTACATACTTTTAATATTGGGGACTTGTCAGTTACATGACAATTGATTTATTATGACAGAATATTAAAAAATATTTATCCCATATTTGCCTTAGCTGTGGCAATTACAGATTAGAGACTGACTTCTCCCAGGCTTCCCAAAAAATAGTAAGAATTGTATTGTGAATAGTTATCATTCTCGGAACAGTTATCCGCTGACTTTGCGACCCATAACGTGCATACGAAACGGGAAACTTCCAGCACTTCGTGTGCCACTTCCCACCAACACGGCCTGATGCAGCAGAATAGTTAGTAACGTAATTAAAGTAATATAGAAAAAAAAATTTTTTTTAATTTGTGATGCAGTTTTCCTTACGTTTTTATACTATACATTTAGTTGTGACTTACGGCCAATTGCAGATTTTTACTTGGTTAAATTAAGTACATATTAAAAGATTAAGCTTTAATTATTTTTCTAAATTTTTCATATATCATAATTATTTAGTCTATTTAAGTTAAATTTTGGGTAGCAATTCATATAAAATATTTTTCATTCGACCTTTTATCTATGGAGCTCTCAGCACGTAATTTATATCTACTTTTTAAGGGAAGATCTCAAGTAACTATATGTATTAGATATTCACATTTCAATCTCGTCTTCAGCGCTGTCAAACTTCATACAGAAAAAGGTTTGGCAGCTTTGGATACTAGACTTCTTTTATTTATAGGATTTTTAGTAGCCTCTCAGGCACGTGATCACGCAGATCTGTGGCCGCGAAGCAATTCAGAAGGGGAGTGTCAAATCTCCCCTTTCTTAAAAGGGACTTTATTTTCTTAAAAGGCTTGGCGTCTATCGCCGGGCCCGGGCGACAGCTACTCCGGAAATATCCTCATGATATGGGTGAATTGGAGCTGGTTGGTCGGCGGGACCCGCGTTACCTAGTATGCTATTTATTTTAGTGCCATATTTTGAAACTTAAATCATGAAACTAGATTAAAGTTTCATTGACTTTTTAAAATTGATTGAATTTTAAAGATTTTACACTATCACATTTTACACTTATGATTTTAATAGAAATACAAATATAGTGTACTGCACTCCAAAGCACTATTTCGTGCATTTAATAATATTTTAATGTTAATAATAATACAGAATGTTATGATGATATTATATTATCTTCGACTATAAGGAAGGAAATGCATTTGAAACATTTTTGGTAGACTGTAAAATGAAATATTATTAGAGTTTTATATCAAAGGATAGAGCTGAATGTCTCGTGAAAGCAAGATAATATTACATTTACGTTGCACCAGACACCTATTCAAGTAAATTGCAGCCATTACGTGTGGCAGGTGAAAAGGAATTCACGTGGACGCTATAACTACATAAACTATGTATATGTTGTGTATATATACATATAGACAGCAGCGACTGTATATCGTTGAAGGAATAAATATTAATAATCCAAAGACGTTTTATATTTTATTAACAACATGAAATTTAAATAGAAACAAATCACACACTATAATTTTTCCTTCTGGCAACACATGGAACAGCATGATGAACGATCAATTGCTCTTGGACAAATGGTGAGAGATTCTATGCTATCTATATGAGGAAATAAAATATAAATTTATCTGTGTTTAATTTCATGAGTTTCCATATTTTATTGTCACTTTTGTTAAACGTTTTTCTTATTTAACTGTGAGGCTTAATGAAAAACCGTCTTTTTGACGAGTTAACAAGTCTTTAACCACTTCCTTGAAATCTAAATTATCACTAACATTTCAAAACTCACATTACATACAGATACTGGCAACCCCATGTTTAATGCTCAAGAAGTTTGCCGGTATGTGTACGTACACTTACTAAAAATCTCAAACAATATCTTATCAACCTCTCCTATGCTGATACAGAAAATATTCTTACCGAGCAAAAATAGTTTAAATATAAATTTGTGTTGTGTAGAAATCATAAAGTAAAATACAGTTTACCTGTAAAAAGGAAGAGACTGGTCCACAACACAGGGAATCCTAGATTCCTAGTGTGGGGGACAATGCACTTTACTTTACCTAAATACCCTGTATATTGTGTATATTAAAGTTTTTTCTTTTTTTTTTCTTTTTTCCGAAACAGTTATTCAACTTTTATTTTGAAGCTAATTTACTAAAATACTTACGCTTAGGACTCGCTGATCTGATTGGACTGGAATTTCCTCTAAAAAAACAGTTAAATTTTTAAATATTTATTTAAAAAATCTTTATGATACATTCGGGCCTTTTTAATCCAGAACAGAGGGAGAACCTTATTAATATTTGAAATCTGTATAAATTTTGTAATTAGTATTTTACAGTATTTTGAGCTAAGAATATAAACATGTTTTTTCTCATTCTGATTAATTATTTAGTTTTGTATTATATATCATGAAATTTCCACTAAAATGGGAGTCCAGTAGGCTGGTTTGCCAACCTATGCTATAAAAAAGTCATTATAGTTTGGGTTACATAAATGATCAATTAAAAAAAACAAAATGTATATTAAAAATATTTTAAACTAGTTGACCTGGCGAACATCAAACCGCCTAATAGATAATGAATGTCGTGTGATTGTGAACTTAATTTATGATTTATGCTAGTAATACAACGAATACAAAACAAATATTAAGTGCACTACTAGATTAAGGAATTCACACAAAACGAAATATGCGTCTGAACGTAAGCATAAAATATATTTATCAAACCTTTTTTATTGCTGACATTATTCTACATCTTTTAAATTTAAAATACGCCACTACCTGAATATTGTGGATATATTATCTTGTCGATTCAAAGCTTTATTTAAATGCCATTCTTATTTGAGTGGAAAGTTTACCGTATAGACGGGTTGAAAATTTAATGTTCGACTGTTACGAAACCTGAACATACAATATTTTTGATTGATATTATTTCTTCGTCAATTTTATTAATTTGTAATAACTGTGACAAATACAACAAATCAAAAACTATGAACATCGGTCCAGCCATTCTCGAGGTATAAGTTCGTATATTGTATTCGAACAAACCCGTCTTTGTTTTATATATTAAGATATATTGTATGCATTGTTTATATATGTACTTATTTAATGCAATTTGTAGCGCAAGAACAGAAAACTACTATAATGGTTTACCTGGTTGACTTTTCCTTCTTAATTTCTTTTAGCATTGGTGGTATTGTGGCTCTGAAAAGGTTATTACACTGTCATTATGATAATATTAAAACACTAGTGCATCTGCATTCGATTGACATTGATATCGCACATTGTTTGTTCAATTCATTTATACGGCGCTCACGAAATAAAACATATTAAATTAAACGGAATCTAGCTGTCTATTTCTTCATCAATGTGTCAGATGAACAAAAGAAAATGTGTATGCTTACGAATACGAATTTACTGGTTTGTTATGAATTTAGATTCCGACATTGTATACATTTAGACAGCTATATGTGTACAAATGTGGGACAGTGCACAACAGTGCAGTGTTATTGACAGCGTTATTTAGATAAAAGATTTTTGGCCTATTTGTTTATTTTATGATATACATCAAAATCGAGAGCAATGTTGGCAAAAACTTGCGACTCTCGTCGCTTAGGTCGCAGGTTCGATCTCCCGGCTGAGCACCAATTGACTTTCTGTCTATGTGTGCATTTAAAGCTGTCTACACACCGCAGCCGCCGGCCCGCCGGCACGAACCCGGCGGGCAAGGCCGGCGGCCTTAGTTTCAACGATGTTGACGGCGGCTTGCGCCCGCGCGATCTTCCCCGCGGCACGCCCCTCTCCGCTCTTCACCACCGGTTGCCCACCGGCTTTTAAGAAATAGTGACGCGTCAGTGTTTTTATCGACTAAACATCATGGAATCCGTTAATGAAGTGGAGAGAAAAATAAAAAATTTAACAAGTCACTAGCAAGCACTTGGCAATCACTAATTGTGAACACTGCATGCCGCGACTGTATGTCGTGCCGCCGGGAAAATTGTCAGGCTCGCAACTTCTAAAGCCGGGTTCACCGGCGGGCCGGCGGCTGCGGTGTGTAGACAGCTTAACATTCTTTGTGTGACAGAATCGCGAGGAAATCGACTTGCCTTAGACCCAAAAAGTCACGCACAGGAGGTTGATCACCTACTTGCCTATTAGATTGACAAATGAACATCAAACAGTTACAGAAATCTGAGGCCCAGACATAAAAAGGTTGTAGAAATGTCTACAACGTATAAGTACTTATTAATTTAAAGAAATTATATACATACTTAAAGTAGCATTTCTATTATACTGGCATTAACGCGGGTGTTTTGCCTGTGTTAATTTTATTATATACATCGAAATGTATCTATATAAATACTACAATTGTACGAGTATAATTGGAATCATTATAAAGTGTGTGATAAATAAAACTTAAACACAACAGACTATCATTTACCCACGCAGTCGCAGACATCAGTTAATTGAATAAAATCGATCCACAATTAATACTTACCTGGATGGCCTCATTTCATATTCCATTTCTTGTTTAATGATCGGACTGGAACCGTATTTGGTATTAGATAATCTGAAGCGTCAATGAAATTAGTCTAAATGATAATACATAATAACTTTTAAGTGAATATAAAATGCTACTTTGCTATTGCGATCCTATTATGTATGGACCGTATATTTTTATTGCTACACTTTCACTTCAAGATTACAAAAAAATTGATTTGTTAGTTTTCATTTAAAAAATTTTTGTGTCTTAAAGGCGCGAAATATAACAAATTTTAAATATCGACTTTTAAATAATAATACTAGTCTATTGTCTATGTTTAGGGTAGTACAAACACGTTTCTAATTCGATTAACAAAAGATATTATGGATTTTAAATAAGGAATACATACTGAATCTCTGTATTACTTTCCACTCCTCATCGACCTTCGTTTTTGATTTACAACACGGCTAAAAAAACAAGTCATTGTAAAAAAGGAATACGAATCCTATTTCGACAGATGCTTAATTACACTTATTATATTACGTAATTTTTATTATATTAGTATATTAACATATTGTTACGAAGACGGGTTGACTGCAATGTTTCTAGACTTTTCCACTAGTTAGAGATCTTTTCAGCAGGCTGAAATGTGATTTCTGACCGTTTCAGGAGATGATCAATCACATATCAGAAAATTGTAATTTACAGAATGTTACCCTCATTTTCAGGAGGCTGAAACATTTTTTCAGTCAGTTTCAGAACAAGTGTAGTCGAGTGGTACACTTTGCAGGAAACCCGTTTTCAGGCCTGGTTATACCCCTTTGATGAATTAATATTCTAGACCGAATTTTCTAGGTGTGGGATGAGGATGATTAGATATATAAAAACGAAAGGGTAAATATAATTAGGACATACTTTAGCACAGCAAGACAGTCCAACCATGTTTAATTCACTGTTATCATAACTCGGTACACTATGCGCCATCGCAATTTGTTTGGTGTCATTTTGAATGTAACTCTTTTTCGTTTTTCGACTCTCCCGGCTCGCCGTATTAGTGGTAGCCCGTGGGCCTCTACTGCTTCTACTTTCATGTTGTATGGGGAGACTAACTGCAATAATAAATCAGCGTTACTTTGGGCACTATCACGGATCGTTTCATAACTAAACCCTGTTTTTAATACGAATTATTTAAAACTCGTATTGGTATAGAATTATGATTATAATTTAAGTAAAACAGTTACAATATTTCAAACTCAAAGCAACAAGAATTCGTACCAGATTCGAATATTCGTGATAAATTATTATAATAAAATTACGATGCGAAAAGCCTAGATTAACAATTGATAGCATTTCATAGACCCTTTTAAAGTCAGCCATTGTTCTGAATTACAAAACGATTTTGTTACAATTACGTGACCGGCGGTTTAATGCCGTTTGGGACTTTCTGACCAATAAATAAGTATTTGATCGATACATTATTACAAATGGAGGGTTTTGGACGTGTTTTCATGTACTGTTAAGATTTATTTGATGTTCATAAATTAAAAACTCGTAAAATGCTTGTTGTTTTAACGTGTAAATAACATATTAATAAATGTAGTATTTCCATGAAAGTTATCACGTCACAATACATCTCTCCTCATGTAGAACGCTGATTATTGACCTGTCTTACTGTTTCAATGGATGAATCATAATCATAGACAGCTGGCCAACGTAATATTCACGTATTTCAAAAACTTATTTTAAATCTTATTTTAAAATGGCAATCATCATTTGGTCCAGAGATAACATAACCGCTGATAAAATGGCAAATTGCAAAAGCGGGAATCGAAATTAAAAACTTTCAAATTTCTACTATAATTATAGTAGAAACTTGAAAGGTTTTAATTTTGCTTTAACAAATAAACTTACGTGAAGGCGAGTTCTCCAGAGTACGTTCAGAGAGTATTTTTAATAGATACATAACACTGGCAACAATCACAGCGAGTGCTATTATAATCGCCAGTAGGGATTTCTGTATAAAACTCTCAAAACAGTCAACCAAATCTTCCATATAATCTGCTGCCACGTACGAACACATTTGGCTAGTTAGAATGTGTAATATATGTACCTGAAAGTAAATAATATATAAAGCTATTGTCTCGACTTCGTTCACGTAATATTGGGATTCTGTGATTAATTAATCTGTGGCAAAGTAGGTCAAATGATTTGTTCAATGTGAAAATCTAAATCTCGAATAAAATAAACTAATCACACTGTAATATAATACACAAATTGTCTAGGACAATGAATAACAATCTAGGACTATATTCATAACGAAAAAAACATATTTCATGAAGAACGTCTAATTACAGTAATTGATTAATTTATATTTGTAAAGAATATTATAGATTTACTTATCAATAATCCAAATACCACCATTGGTATTTCTAAATATGAATGGCGATTTTTACTTTAGTTTTATATTATTAATGTATTTTGTGGTTTTGTATTTTCAATTTCCTAGGAGGATTAAGATTAAGCTCACTATTCGAAAGGATTTTCCTTGGAGATTTAAATATACTTGAAATGCAAATTTTTAGATCGTTTCAAAATTACAAAAGAATCAGTTTAGCATTCAAAATAAGTTGAGAATGCTTTTAAAGGATACACTGTCTATAAGTAAATATTTATTTAAAAATACAATTTTAAATCTTTATTTTTATATCCATTAGAGTAAACAAACGCAATGAATAATACATACTAACAGGAGTTACAACCTCAAAGAAGTTACGGTCGTGTGCAGTTCGCATACTTCCCAAAAATAAGCTTTTCCCCAGAATCGAGCCTAGGCCGATTAATAAAACCGAGTACATAGCTGAAGTGTGGAATTTAAAACATTTTTGAAGTTATACTTCTTTAGGCGCGTTATGAAAAATTGATGAGAGTGAAATTTTACGATGCGCGCGCACCGTGACACAAAATTAACAGAATGAAGTTGCCCACGGAAGATGCTACGGCATTGGACATAATTTAAAAACAACATTCGAATAATAATAGAATTTATGTTACACTTAATGTAAGAGAATAATAATAATAATATTTATTTACTGAACTTTATTGACTATAATGACTCCTTTTCCAGTCTTTGATCATTTAATTGTAATTAATTATTTGCATGGACTTAAAAAACTATTTTTAATAATGCTAAAGAAGTATATCTTCTTACGCGCGTACATAAGTACACGCACCCTTTATTACTATTTATAATTAACAAAAGAGAGAAACAATGAATTAGGTGAAAAAATCTCCATACTGATTTTTATAGAAACACCGTAGAATCAATAATCACAAAGTACAAAATAGGTCAGCCTTTTGTTTATATGTACTAAAAATCCTGTTTAATTTATATTTGAAGAGCGAACTCGAATGAATACAGCTTTTGGTCGGTCTCAATGAAAATACAATGGAATACGTACCAAGCTATTCTTTTTACGTTTTTAAAATATTGCGAACAATATTTTTTACACACAAAAACACGGCGCATAGTAGTTTTTTAAATAATTCTAGATTAAATTTCGTTCATATGAGACGCGTTCGGTCTCATCATGATATGTGGACCCAAAAAATAAAATTCAATGTTTTGACCCGAAATCCTCTGAATACGTTTTAATTTTATTTGATATCTGTCATGCTTGCATTTTATCTATTGTCTATGACACAGAATATAGAAACCTTAATAATCTGATTTTAGGGCTACATAGCGCTCTGTGGGTATGTTTTCTGGCGTTCGCTTTATATTATATATAATAGTAGCAGTAGTGTAAAATTATATATTGTATTTCGCTATTGCTTAATTAACATAATTTTATGAATACGAATCTTTACATAACCACAAGACTTGTCTTCGCTATCAATAAAACTCATAAAAAATTATGTGCCCATGCCACTTTGCATAAATAAAAAAATGAAGAGATAATTGCTACAAATTTATTTTTACATTAACTAAGTTTTATATAAATACAAAAGAATAATACCCCATGTCCTCAATATTCCTCGAAATTATTCCAAAGATATCTTACAGAAAATTCGCGCACTAAGCAGACGCCTTTCATCAGTATAATAAGGATTCAAGGATAATGTAGTCACAATCTGGACCGCGGTCCATTTTCTACGTAATCCATAAACTCACAATATTCGAGGTCCGCCCTTCACAAGCCGTGATGGATTGGGACCTTTGATTTATACCCTTAATAATATTATGAGCACGAACTCATTTTATATTTAGGTATATTACTTTAGGGGTTTAATTCACATTTGTTACGATTTAGCTATGTATGGATAGAGAATTAACTTAGGAGCAATGTTAGCCGAGTGAGCGTATGATTCTCAATTTTGACATGAATCACGGCTGTGCAAGATATTTTCTCTTTGTACACACCATTAAAACTTATCGTACGGCGAAGGAAACCAGTCAGGAAACCAGCACGTTTTAGACTGATGGAGGCTGATCTAGATGATGCAGAAGACAGTACCCCTAGTGAGTTATATCGTTACTGTTAAATAGAAATAATATTTATTTGCCATTAAATATAAATACACATGGGCGGATAGTGAATTTGTGGGGCTCTGGGCTATTATGGGGAAGCCCCCCGTAATAGACGCATACGCGAAAAAATACAAAATATGCATCGTTCCATAACTGAGCGTTTCTTAATTTCTGCTGTGCACCACCACTACGTGGAACCAGCTGCCCACTAAAGTATTTCCGAACCAATTCGACTTAGGGTCCTTGAAGAAAAGGGCCTTCCAATTCTTAAAAGGCCGGCAGCGCGCTGCAAGCCTTCTGACAGTGCGAGTGTCCGTGGGCGGTATCACTTAACAGATGAGCCTCCTACCCGTTTGCCTCCTGTAACATAAAAAAAATCCTTCCCTTTATTTTATATGGGTATTCCGTACATCGTCGTGTGTGATGTAAACTTATGTATCTGTACATAAGGTTTTGTATACAGTTTACTCTATATGTTTAATATAATATGTAGTATATAAGGTTTTCCATGATTATATCTAGATGGCGCTAGTTGTTACTTAAAACGCGCTATCGAAGTATGTTGTAACTTTCATATGGTCAGTTGGTATGTGGATTAAATGAGAGTAAGTTATGAGCTGTCGAAGAAGTTTTATTCAGACTACTCGCGGACTCATCAGGGAACTTGATTAGAATCATTCACTATAAATAATCAAATAATCAAAAACAGTCTTGTAAAATGATTTCCTAATATTAAATATAATGTGTTTGCTAAAAATGTTCTATATAAACAGTGCTAATGGAAAACTGAAGATACTTGTGACAGGGACTGTCCTGTGATTAAGTGCACGCTGAAAACTTAAACGTGTAGTTAATATAGATGTATAGGTTGCATATGTACAGGGGCGAATCTACCTAAGGGCTTTTTGGGCTGCAGCCCAGGGCCCCGTGGATTTCTCGTTAAATTATCAGTGAGACATTTAGCTTTTTTCTGCATTTGTGCTTGCTGAATTCGTGTAAATATATTAGAGATTATATGAACCGGTTTACGAGTTAATATATATTCCACATGAATACGAAATTGGTATAGTGAATATGTAATGTCATGCCAGTTCTGACATAGGATTTAAGCCTAAGGGAAATGAACTAAAATATTTGACTTCAACTTGAGATTGAAATGCTCTGACGTCTGAATTTTTTAGAAGTTTTCCCTAAGTCTATATACAAAATAACACAAATATTGTAAGCTGTTTACAAGTTTCTTTGTCAGTTATATAATTGGCATTACTTTTTTCTTTAGGCGACATTACTCGATTACAGTTTGAAGTCAAAGACTACCATGAAGTCCTACTAGAGTCTGGCTAATGAAAGAAGATAACAAAAAAGGCGGCAAATTAAAAAAAAAAAATAGTATGGTATCCCTGAAAGTTTGATATATTTTGTGGATTAAACTTACTTGATACTTGATTTTATTTTATTATTTCTTACATTGATAGTAACTGTATTTCTGTGAAATTAAATACTATACGTATTTAGTCTTTTACTATTGATACTTAAAATGTCTAGCATGGCATGGAAAACTACAGCTTTATTTATTATAAAACACAACTTTATTCGGAATAATCAGATCATGAGATCAGAATAATCAATCCAAAACATCAATAAAACAAAGTTTTACGCTATTATATGTGTTAACTATTCGCAAAAATTTATAATAGAAATAAAAATGAATAATTGCATGAAGTATCAAGACAATAAATCATACAAACCTCAGAAATTCAATGACATTCTGTGTTGCCATCTGAATGTTTTCAAATAATTCTATTATCTTCTTTCATTAGCCAGACTCTAGAAGCCTTCGTTCGTGTAAATGAAGACACAATTAGTACTTCCCTTATTGCCTGTCTGACAAACTGTACCAACTTTAATGATAGGCCTTTATATAATAATACCGGTGTTACGTTGACCAGACGGTATATAATACATTACATTCAGTTCGATGAGAAAAGTATGAGACAGTGAAAATGATTTTTTTCTATTAGACATATTTATGTATTGGATAGCCCACATTTTGTTTGCCTCCTAATCTTGGTTGGATTTGCTTACACCCGAAAGGAAAATCTCGTTATTTCGTGAGCTTTTCGTATTTGTCGGGGCTTATTCATGAATTTCATTTATAAATAAAATTTCAAATATATGTTTGGGAAAGTCCTCTTTGTATATCAAATTTTATCGAATGATGTTCTTTGTGTGATTTTTAATAAATACCTATTGATGCTCACTTATTTACTGGAGGTACCATATTCAATACCGCGCGAAAACGTATTTGTTTTCAGGGGTTTGGGATCAAATCACTACAGGCGTGGACTCTCTTACGCCAAACGAATATCTATAGAAATGGTCACGTGAGCTAATGTCATTCTCATACAAACCACCACCACCTGCGGTAGTGGGTCACGTCTGTTGTAAAGTAATTTTATCTCAAGCCCCAAGTCGAAAGACAAAAACTGAAATGTCAATAAAGAACCGAAAAAAAATCTGTCGTAAGAACATTTAATTAACATATGACGAACGTATTATGTACATTTTAAACTATAACAAGGTTGCGGGTCCTAACCTTTTTAGGGTTTTCTGTTTGATGTCACTGAGAATCTTTAATGCGGACTCAAAGCGATCACAGCCTCTAAGCAATTAGACGAAATGTTGAAGCTGGATTAACATGGTTGGACTCCATATCAATGTTACTTAATTTTTACGTATCCTATACATCGCAAATTGGTTAATTATTGTGTATATGTGTTATATATTTTGTGTGTTTAGTTTATAATAAAATCTTTACAAACCTTTTAATACTGTTGCGCCTGCTTCATTACGTGCGTATAGCCGGCCTTTGAGGGAGAAGTATAGTCTCTTTTTAAAGGTCGTATCTCCGAGGGAAGACCTCCACCGGGAGCCGATTCCACAGTTCGGCAGTTTGCAAGTGAAGCAGACAGTAGAACGCTTTTAGCCAAGGTGATGCAGATGAAATCTAGAGTTAATACGGTGAGGAAACGAGGCAGGAGGGATCAACCCAAACTACTCTCCATAGTACACTTTCTAGAAAACGTATAGAGACTTGGAAGCACAGGCTCAGAGATTTGAGCAGTTTTCCATAAGAGGCCGTACTTTACCTTTGGCTTTGTAGAGCTGCATACGGCTCCACAGAAGCCATGCTTTGGCATGACTCTGAGGTTGCAAAAACTTCTTGGTAAGTTTAAGCGCCCGCACGCTTATAACATCTCTCAGCCACACTCGCAAATACCCTCTCACGCACACACACACTTTTGTTGTATATAAATTGTATTATAATTATATATTACTAGCGGACCCGACAGACTTTGGCCTGTCTTAAATAAAAAAAATAATCTAATTGTAAATCTAAACTATTCTCGAATCCACTTGAACACACACACAAAATTTAATAGTAATCGGTCCAAGAGGAGAAGTTTAATGTTGTTTAATGTTTGGAACACACAATAATTATATGTATAAATATGTGTTTTTCATTGCATTGAGATGAAGGGATTCAAGTATTCCCATAGGTGTTATTTACAGAATTATGGATTTTGGCCAAATTGGCTCTCTTTCATTTTGGGGATTTGATTATATTTAATTTAAATAAAGGTTGTAATGGTGTTTGATAATTTTAAACTATCTATTTATCTATTCCTATCTATTTACAAACTAAAGTAAAGTGAAAAAATCGTTACGTTTTTCCCAAACCTAGTGGCTACTATCTAGAGAAATATGTAAATATATTTGTTCATACACAGCAAAACAGCAAAAGTCGTAAAGGGTACAGAAATTGAATCTCATAATCGGCAGCAATAAAATGTAACATAAAGTATGCAACATGAATAATGTAAATTTCTAATCCTACAAGAACAATACAACGATAATGAAAAACATCTTTGGGGATATTAATGAAAATCACCGTCCATAGTCAGTCGTAAATTATTGTTATCATGAGAATAATTATTTATTATTTCTGTTTACTGTACTACAAATTCCAATTGCTTGTAATGGTTATAATATTTTTAAACGCTTACACAAGTGTTTGTTCTTGTTTAACATCTTAAAGGTGGATCCCACCATTTACTAAAGTTTTCATAAACTGATTTCCTCTTCACCAAATCATCTTCACTGAGTATGGAACAAAATCTACAATATTCATCTGTTTCTATACTTTCAGCTTTTGTATGATAGCTGTAATGGTTAGTCCATCGAAAATATTCTCTGTAGTCCTCAGAATTTTCAATCAGTGCATTCATTTTTTCCGCCAATTTCTTCACTCCCAATTCTCTCACGTTGAGATACGCGCTATCTGGCATGAACCTGTAATTACAAATTGTGTTAATATATTTCTAATGCCGCAGAGCAGGCAGAAAATAATAACCGGCACAAATATATGAGTCTTTCCTATAACTTCGATTTTGTTCCTTTGGAGTAGAGACTCTTGGGCCGTGGGGTTCAAGTGCACAGGCGCTTATTAAGTTGCCACCTGGTAGATAGTACCGGTGACCCCAGAGCTGGTGCCTTCCTGGCTCAACGAACAAGTATCGCAATACAGCGAGCTAATGCTGCCAGCGTTACAGGTACCGGTTGGTGCCACAGGGACCAAACTTTTAAAATTTGTTTTAATTTTCGTTTTAATAATATATAAATATTTTTATTATTACTTTTTAGATTAATAAAATTGTAAATACAAATTACATTCTATAGCTTTGTTATAAGTATAATAAATATACCTTGTATAATTAGCTCCGCCATATACGATTGGTACAGTGAGATGTTTTAATGGATGCAGCAACTTTTCTGTCACATAGTCTTCGGCTAATGAATTCTCAAATGATAAATAAAAGAAGTAGTCTCTTTCAAGCATGTTATCGCATGCGTCTTCATCATTTCTGGAACACTTTAAAGGCCCACACGATCCGTATATATCAATATACAAATCATACTTAGCGAGCTCAGCTGCTAATTCTCTCGTTAATTCATTTCTTCTACTTCTGGAAAAACAATTTGATACAAACCAAGCCGCCGCTTTTGTTTTATTTCCAAGTTTTAGTTTTACATCTTCACTTACTGGCTTCATTCTTTCAAAATCCAACCAATTCATATCTATTTTCGGTCCTACTATTTGTTTATTCTCGTCCCTTATAGTCATGTAACCCCATTGAACTTCCGAGGATAATTTATATGTCCATGTCCAATTAAAATAGTTATTAAAATCATCTCTACAGATTGGATAATTATCTGAAGATTCAATTGATGCAAATACATATTTCTGGTGTTGGGATCTCTTTTGTGGCAGTTCCTCTTTCGGTAAATTAATAATTTCGGGTCCATTAAAAACAATAATATCGAAATTTGTATAATCTCCTAATAAAGATCTATTGTTTGTTACTATACAATTTGTGTATGCACATTTTCTTTTAAGGAATCCATCGTTTCCTTCTCCCATATACACAAATGGTACAGTACGTTCCGAAGTCCATCGGAGAATATATTTTATCCTACCAGAGCTATGTACATATTGGTCATTTATATTAAAAAATACACTTGTTTGAGAAAAAATTTGACTGTGTAGCTTACGATTTGATTTTGTCATGTTTTCACTATTAAATAGAATACATCCCAATATTGTCACAATTAACACACAAAGCGTCAGTATTTTTATAACGCTCTTTTTGAAACGCATTTATAACCATTAAAACCATTTGTTGACTTGATTGTATGAAACGCGTGCGCAGTTTGACGCGTACAGTTCTAATAATCTCATAACAAACAAACAAAGTCGTGTCGAGTTATGTATTCAGCTGATTACTGCTTTTCAGTTTGGATTCATTTACCGCGGGTAAAGTATTCAGTTTCTATAACAAGTGAATATATAAAAGAGAAAACGACCTTAAGGTGTGATAGCGTTACCAAGAATTAATTATGCAATAGAATAAACAGTCTGAACTCTAATCAACTGACATTACTGAAACATGAATTTCGAATCAATTGCTGAAACGTTCTACAATTTGGTGGCGTTTCTATTTATTTTAATTATAGCATTGCCCTTTAAACTGTTCGAAACAATCGTTTAGTTCTTCGCTATTAATCGGCAAGTTGTAGAAATTCAAAACTTGAGCGATTTTATTTTGCAAAAATTAACAAGTAGTTGAGTGCTTAGAGGAACCTTTTTTTTATACATGTGTCTTTACTAAGACATCATGGAACATTACAATGTAGCCTAATTTAAGACTAATTAGTAATTTAAGTGTAACCTACTTTACTAATGAGGATATTTTTTACGTATTAAAGTGTCACGGTGTTGCACTTAATACTAATTCACTAGTTCAAGTGGTTTTGTCCTATTCAGTCTTCTCACCAGGCCCGTGGTGTCAAGGAGTTGTATAACCTCGACATATTATTTAATTTACACTTAATAAATAAATCCTTGTGTTGATCGGCTTTTCAGAAACTTTTAAGATGTACATTTTTCAATATCGTAAAGCTGAAGCATACTTAGGGAATAAAAAATGTACGATGTAATGTAAATGGTAGGCGTGCTTATCACGCACACAACCATCTAGCAATCAATATTTCGTATCATATTGTTAAAGGCCTTGTCATACATTTCCAGCTCGTGGCTAGATATTATCAACGATAAATTATTTATAAGTAAGAAAAACGTTTTCTATAGAAAATTTACGGTAAATTTTAATAAGAATTTGGGCTGAATTTAGTCTCACGCCGACGGCACGCGCACCGTCGGCGCTGATGGTCGAGATATATGAACTTCTAGGAAGCGTTTTTGAATGACGCGTAGCTATCAGCGCGCACGGTGGTCAGCGCTGATGGCTGCGCGGCCGTACGCGTCGCGCGTCGGCGCCGCGTAGCCTTCAGCACAGCCTCTGCTTTCAGTGAGCGTTGTAGTGTCAAACGGAGCGGACGTCGTCAGCGTGTACAGTCATATCAAATCGCGAAGTGGATACAGGTCGAGTTATCGAGTAATCGTCAAGAGTTCTTGTTGACATTCGAAAGTAATTAAAGAATTTACTTTCCTCAGCCCTCAAAGTGCCATATAACAAGACAAAGTCTCCTGCGACGGCTCTCTGCTCAATCAATGGATGAACATGGAGTCTTCGTCGTCGCCGGTTTTTATTTTTTTGAGATAGGTAGTACAAAGCAGCAATAACTAATGTACTGCGCATTTTGGTCTTCGTTTGTACAGTAAGGCGGTCAGTACGATACTGAAACGAGCCACGTTGAGCTTCAGCGCTGATGAACTACGCGCTGATCTATGAGCGCTGACGGTGAGCGTGAGACTAAATTCAGCCTTAATAAATTTGAAAAAGATAACGTCTTCTGTTTATGTAATCTGACAGAAATTGTATTACCAATTTAATTTATGGAACGAAATGCAATAATCTTTTTCAATATAAGCTCTAATTAAATAAAATGGCATATGTTTAAATTTTCTCCTTGTTCGCAAGTTTTATTCCGTTACCTTCATATTAAGAGTGGATACAACATTCCCGTTTTTGTAAAAGATATTATTCACTCTTGGTCACAAAATTCGTTCCCATACTCCTCCGAAACGGCTTGACCGATTCTTATGAAATGTTGTATGCATATTCAGTAAGTCTGAGAATCGGCTACTATCTTTCTTGGAAACCCCTAAATGTTAGGGGTGGTCCACCCCAAAAACTAATGTTATTTCTTGGATAACATTTTTATTATTATTATGTGGCATTAAAAAATACATACAACTCAGACTTGGGGTCACTCACCTATTTCACTAGACCAACACTGCTTTAAAATAAAACAATTCACCAAAATGTGAAATAAATAACATACGCAATTTTACTGTACATTTCCAACCTTCATAATCATTTCAAAGAAGAAAATAAAATATTCTGTCTGTGGCTGCCTTTAGAATGGTTTATAATTAACACGACTTTCATCACAACTGAGAGTACAGGGGTCTGGAATGACCTTTACCTTGAACTGTTAAGAGCGGTCTCTGAAAAAATCCAGGTTACATTGAATACTAGGCTCACGTAAGAACAAAGGCTTCACGAATCTGCAGAGTACTTAAGTTAATCAAGTGTGTCGTGAAATCCTGTCATTGAGACAGGTTTGACATTTCTTTAAGCATCTGGGCGTAAATAAGTATAAGTGATATTTATCTTTTTTAACTAAATATTACTATTATCCTAATATTATCAAATTCAAAAGGCGTAAGTTATACGAGCTTGATCTCAGTACCCTAGTCCAATAACAAATAAAACCCAAGCTGTCTTACGAGTTACAAAGAGAGTGCTGTTGCGGTCAGTCCAACTTTCCAGGATATTTCTTTGGAAATAGCTGACTGTCTCGTATTCCTTGGCGTTACCTTGACGGCCGATTTCAGTTTTGGGCGCTTTATTCCTTCCAAGGGCCAAGCGGCGGCATAAATCTTAGTATTTTGGCACGTCTGACAGTTCTATACATCGGAACAGCTTCTAAATGTTTACCAAGCTCAAGTCCGTTCGTATAAATAAAATAAAAATAAAATATGTTTATTATGGAATATAAGATACAGGTATCACTTATTCCACGTCATTAAATTTGAATAGGTAGGCATCCCTACTCATCGACAAAGAAGATAGAGGGTGTAGGCGGAGAGAAAAAGCCGGCGGTTACATAAGCATCTCCTGGACTGGCATCCCTCCAAAAAGTTCTGTATGAAAAAAAACATGTAACGTACTTACCAATTCAATTTAAAACATCTTCACAGTTATTTTGCAAGGTTAATAGTTAAGTCAGGCGTCACGACTGTGTTATAAAAATCCTAACATCCAAGTCATATTAGTGTCTAAATTGCGGTATAATTATTCACGGTAACTATACTAAGAAATTACATAAAATGCACACAAGTAAAATATGAGTAATAAATGCCCTAATACGCAGCCCGGAGTGTCCTTGACCCACCTGTTGCTCTGTCCGGGATAGTCGAAGATTTATTATTACGTTTCTGACAGACTCCGTCATTTCCTCGTCACAGTATTTTGTGAAGTTTTGGAAAGAAAATATCGTAAACTATTATTTGAAAAAAGTTGCGAGCCGTTTTCATATTAATTTTTAACATAAATTTATAAAAGTTATTATTATTTATGTATAGAACATAAATTATAAGGCTTGGATAATATTAGCTTGGTCATAGTGTTGGGAAGAAATACATATAATTTAGAGTAATAATATCTACGAATTCACAGTAGGCCATCAATTATTTATGATTTATTATATACGGTACGGTGGAATTCAGTTTTAAATTTAATGCCCATTTTGATACTGACTGATATAAGAACATAATGAAATACCCTTTTGGTTTTTAATTTAGAAATCAATAATTCAATGAATGAATGAATTGAATTCCTGTGTCTATGTGTTGAATGTCTGTATAAGTAATTTCGATTGACGTATTTCTTATAACTTTCAACTAAATATTTTTACAGTTAAACTCTATATAATATAATACAATAGTTGTCAATGATTTATAACGAATCCTTCTTCCTTTGTCTGTTAAGTTTCTAAGTTGTCTTTTACAAGACATGTAAGTTATTGAATATCAACGATTATTCTGAAATGAGAACACAAATGCGTTAAATCTCTTAATGACGGCTATTTATCGGTATAATTAGACCAATAAGGACGCCATTCGGATCGTAAAAGCATAATTGCCCGTATGAAAACGTTTGAGTACGCATTTAATTAATTGGCTTTTGCGAAAACGTTTTGTAAGCTAGTCTATGGTTCATTAGTACTATTATTTATCTATGGTAATTAATTTTGATCGTATAAATCGAACTCTGGCAGGTAACTCAAATTTACTCAAAAACTCTTTGCGAATTGTCGCTAATATATAGAATATTTATAAAGTTGATCTTTACTGCAATGTATATTGCAATGTACCGTTGAAACGGCAATGTATATTAAAATATTAAAAGCAAAACTAATAACTTATTTTTTCTGTATATGTGTGTATTTCTCTTGGTGATCTGATGCAATGCCGTATATAAAAAGGAATTCATTATTGCAACATAAATATCATATCGTGGGTTACGTATTTTGTACATAGCTTATAAAATGATGTTAATAGTTTAAGGTGGAATACAAACTATAATTATTATAATTGTATCTTGTTAAACTTCAGGTTGTGTTTAACGATAACTAACTTACGATTATGCGAATGTACATTTGATCACTTAGTCCAACTAACGAACACGATGGACAGCCAAGGACATATGGAAATGAGGAATAGATTGTCAATCTAGCTGTTCGTTAGTTGACGGATATCGGCTAATTGATGAAGATTGTGTGCCATGTCCAGCAAGATTTGTGTCAGGGAAATGATTGAAGAATTAGTTGGATACAGCCGAACTACGAATTGAAAGTTTGAACATTCAAATTGGTTTCGAGAAAATGTATATAGGGGTTTTCTCATTTTTCGTGATTCAACTTCAATTTTAACTAATCCTTATCCGTCTCTTAAATGGAGGGCACCAGACCTTGAGGCCGATTCCCTACTCGCTGGACCAATCAAGAAAAGGCCCTTACAGGTCTTACCATCACGCAGAC